CATAACCCATAGACACAGACAATAGTGGGGTAAAGGCCTGGGGGAAGGGGTACAGAGTGGAGAGGACCAATGGGGGAAAAACAGGGGACATTTGTAATATTTTCAACAATAAAGATAAATTTTAAAAAATAAAATAAAATATACAAAAGGAAAAAACTAAATATCTGCAAAAGTTTAAGAGCTTACGCTTTTCATCGCAGTACTGTAGAGTTATGGAAACTGACTAGAGCCTTCACTAACCCTTCACCTGGTCCTATAATAGAGACTGTCTAACAGCTAGAGCAAAGGTTTTTAAGTCATGTTTTGGTTTTTTTGGTTTTATGTTAACTGGTACTCCTTGAGTAGGATTCAAGAATTGACTTCATACTAAATCCTAAAATTCAGTATTAGTACTAAAATATTCTATATGCCTGTTTGGCTCTAGGGAATCATCCAATCAAGTTTCTACTCTTGCTGAAAATCTACTCCTGGGAACTCAGGTCAAGCTTCAAATGAATGTTATTTTAAGTTAAAGACTATACAAATTCAGTTTTTTAGGCTTTCAAAGTTAATTTTTAAAATAAAGTCACTCTTGCCCACACAAGGAAATAACTTAAAATTGCCCACTTAAGAGTATACTTGAAATTTTAAGAGAAAAACACAAAAGCTAATTCATACCCAGTATAGACAAACATATTGACCAAACATTTCAAAAGGTGCTGCCAAGCAATTTGCACTCTGGCCCATAGAAAAGCAAAGTATATCAAAATTAGTTTCCACTGAGACCTACTTCAAAGCCCAAGGAGCTTTTTTCCCCACTTGTCCTTGTCAATTGCTTCTATGTATGTGAAAGTCTCACCAGCATCAATTCTCCAATATTCCTCCCAATAAATTCAATCTCAATTTGATCTTTTTCAAACTGTTCAAATTCTAATCTAATGTGCTAAAAATTTCACTCACCTCTTCTGTGTGGTTCCGCACTGAAGCCATCAGTTGAATTAACACTGACTGAAGTTGTATGTATCGCAACATTCATTCAGCTACCTTAAAACTCACCTTAGATGTGTGTCGAAAGCTTTCAATCTATCCTCCATGTCTCTTACTCTTGGAAAAAAAATTTTCTTAATCTCTATCTCTCTGTGTTTTGAGTGGGATTACTCAGTATTCCCTTAGAATTCCCTAATTTTCTCTTGAACTGAGACCAGTCTGAGTTTTATTTTTCATTTACATTTTTGTATAATTTTTTCTTTCATTTGTAGCATTTCTATTTGGTTCTTTTTCATATCTACCTAGTCTAGTTTTGTTTTGGCCTGTTTCATCCCCACAATTTTCTGTTCTTCTATGGAAAGTATTATTTCATTTATCTCACTAAAGATACTTGTTTAAAGTCTTTTCCAAATTGCTCTATTATTTTAACTTCACCTGGAGTAAATTTATATCCTAATTCTTGTTTCTCTTCATTGCCCTCCTAGCATTTGTTTTAGAATTTTCATTTACAGGCTCATTTTGAGAAGGTATTATCTTTCTCCTTCCTTCTGTGCTCAGCCTTCCTTATCCAGTCAATCTGATTCCCTGGGCCCCAGTTTGGGTTTCCTGACCTATGGCAATACACAGGTTATCACAGACTCAATCACTAAGCCAATGTGAGATTTGGTTCAGTTCTTGATCGTGAGGCCTCCCCTAGGGACAGAAGCTTCTTATAATGGGCCACAGAGAGCTCTAGGCAGCAGTTAGCAAAAGCTTTTTCAACCTCCTTTCACCAGTGCTGGGAGCCCCAATTTAGCCGCTAGCATGTAGTCCTAAATCTACCTCCAGCAGCACAGAACCCTCCCGTCCTTCTTCACCAGAGCTCAAAGAGAAAATTAAGTCCTAATGCCTACTTTAAGGCACCTACTAACATCCACTGTATGTAATGAATTAATGTGTCTCCTATGAGGGAAGGGACCCTAAAAAATTTAGTACCTCAGGAAGTATATCTCTCTCTGACCTAAGGAGAGGAGGTCCTGTTTCTGTCTTCCCAGCTAGTAGGAACACTTACTATTCTGAGTCAATCAGACTCATTCCATTCTTTTACAACAATGTATACCTTAAGTACTTGTGATAATACACTCTGCAGAAGATACAAGAATAAAATTGTCTACAGTAGTAGCAGGTAAGGAAATATGAAGTACAGACTGTGGGTAAACTTTTGATCAAATTCTAGACCACAACTTAAGCCCCTATTTTGTCTATATGGATATTTCTATTTCATATTGAGTCTTTTTTTTAAGTGTATCTTTATTGATTTCAGAGAGAGGAAGGGAGAGGGACAGAGAGAGAGAGAAACATCAATGATGAGAGAGTCATTGATCGGCTGCCTCCTGCACACTCCCTATGGGGATTGAGCCCCCAACCCAGGCATGTGCCCTGACTGGGAATCAAACCACGATCTCCTGGATCCTAGGTCGATGCTCAACTGCTGAGCCATGCCCGGTCAGGCTTCATATTGAGTCTTTAAACAAACAAACAAAGCTGGCAAAAAAGGACAAGGTGTCTAACTTTCTCTAGCCCTAAGCACCACTGAAAAGGCCAAGGGTATTAAAGATGGGAAAAAACATGTATCAGTGCAGAGAACCAGGAAAGTGGCCATACAGATTCAAGGAGTTTTTGCTAAGTCCCAGAGCACCTGAGACTTGAGAGAAATAAGTCATCAAAGATCAACTTGCCACTCCAATTCTGAGAATGCTCAGAACATTCAACAAAAAAGTGGAACCAAAAGTTGGTACCTCAAAATGATGTACAAATCTTTAGCTTAACTGACAGGGGAAAAAAATTAAAAGAGAGAAGACTCATATTACTAACATCAGGAATGAAAAGAGGGGAAATTACTATTATAATTTTAAGGCAATACTATGAACAACTGTTTGCCAACAAATTGGATAACCTGAATGACATATACAAATTCCTAGAAAGACACAAATTGCCAGAACTCAGGAAGAAATAGAAAATCTCAATAGAGTTATAAAAAGTAAAGAGAATGAATTATGAATTAAAACATTTCCCATAAGGAAAAGCCCAGGATCAGATGGCTTCATTGGCAAATTAAACTGAACATTTAAGGAATTAATACTAATCTTCACTAACTCTTCCCAAAAACTGTAAGTGGAGGGAGCTCTTCACAACTTATTTATGAGGCCAATATTTTCCTGGTACCCAAATCAGACATTACGAAAAAAAGAAAACTGCAGACAAACATCTCTTATGAACATAAACATGAAAATACTCAAAGGAAGACTGGCTAATCAGTCTTAGCTGGATGGCTCAGTTAGTTAGAGCACTGCTCCATATATCAAAAGGTCTCAAGTTCGATTCCCAGTCAGGACACATACCTAGGTTGCAGGTTCGCTCCCCGGTTGGGGCATTTGCAGGACGCAACCAATCGATGTGTCTCTCACATCAATGTTTCTCTCTCTTTCTCTCTCCCCCTCCCTTCCTCCTTTCCACTCTCTCTGAAAAGCAATGGAAAAAATGTCCTCAGGTGAGGATTAACAAAAAACAAAACAAAACAAAAAATACTAGCAAATCAAATCCAGTAATATAAGATTATACATCACGAACAAGTGAAATTTATCCCAGGAATGAAAGGTTGGTTTAACATCCAAAAAACTAATTAATACAATATACTGTATCAATAGGATAAAGGTGAAAGCCCTTAATACACACAAAGAAAGAGTCTGACAAAATTAAACGCTTCTTCATGATAAAAACACTCAACAAACTAGGAATGGAAGGAAACTTCCTCCACATGATAAAAGGAATCTACTAAAAACCCATAGAGATGGTAAGCAAATTAGAGGTTTCCAAGGGTTGGCTGAGAACTGGGAATGATTGCTTAATGAGTATGGAGCTTCCTTTTGGGGTAATGAAAATGTCATGGAACTACATATGGGTAATGAATGCGTATCATTGTGAATATACTAAACACCACCTAATTGCTCACTTTAAAATGGTAAAATTTATGTCAGAATATGAATTTTATCTCAATTTTTTAAAAAATCAGAATAGGGCAAAGGGCAGGAGGATATGGTAGTTTCATTTGCCCTAGTTAGTCCTTTACATGACCTTACACTCTATATTGCTCCAAAGCACCCAACTCTAGAGAAGCAAAAAAGATTCACTTCAAGCAACAGGAAAGGAAGGAAACTCTATACTGAAGATAATGAGACTATGCCCAGTATCACCAAGAAAGGATACTGTCATCCACTGGACAGATACGACACCTGTGCATGATGAGAGAGTGTCAGATGTTTGTTGCCCTCAGGGTGAGTGCAAATTCAGTCTACTCCCCTGTGCCTTCAATGTACACAATCATATAGATGATTCCTATAACCCTATAAGAAGGTCTGAGGCACTGCAACCAAAGAGACTTATTTAGATTTACATATAATATTTACTAACACTGGAAAATAAACATATTCTAGATAACATAGACTTTACTGTATCTACTGAAGAGGTGGACAAATATTTATATTTTGAGTTAAACTCTCACATTTTACTAAAAGAAACAATCTACAAAAAACATAAAACTATTTGCAAAAAAAAGAATTATGTTACTAATAAAAACAATATTTAAGAATTAAATAATTGACCTGTTAAAAGAATTTCCCATTTTGTTATCAACAGCAGCATTACATTTTAGATCAATAAGCTTCTTGTGAAAGATTTATTAAACAAATTCCAGACCTACCTCTTTATTGGGTGTACCTTCATCGAATTGCTCTGTAAATGAAGATGTCCTGCTCCTTGTTCCTGTTGGTGTTGAAGAATTGGAGGAAGCCTAGATTTAAAAATGATTGCACGAATTAGAAAGATACATTGACAAGTACACTATGTGCTGGGCAGTCATTCACTCAATCCATGACCAACGAACCCAGAGAAAGGAGAAGAGCTAACACATGAAAACCGAAAAGGATGAATAAAACGTAATTGACCAGGAGACCGAGGCTGCCTACTAGGTCCTTGGTCTGACTCTGCTACCAGCTAGAATTATGATTTTAGCTAAGTTAACTTTTTGAGGGCTGTGTATCCTCATCTATAAAATAGGGTTGTGATGGTAAAATAAGATGGTAGTATTAGGGGAAACTAAAACCAGGTGAGGAGTATATGAACACTCTCTGTATTATCTTTGCTACCTTCCTGTCAGTCAAAATTATTCCAAAACAAAAAGTTCATTTTTTGGTCCATGTGGCTCAGCTGGCTGGGTGTCATCCTATCCCCTGCACCAGGAAGTTGCCAGTTCAATTCCCAGTCAAAGCACACGCCCAGTTGTTACAGGTTCCAACCCCAGTGTGGGATGGGGGGCATGCAGGAGGCAGCCAATGTTTCTTTCTCTCTCCCTCTCCTTTTCCCTCTCTCTCTAAAAATGAATAAAACTATTCTTTTTCTAAACAAAACAAAAAAGTTCATTTAAAAAAACATGGTTGTCAATTCGATCTTTAAAGGGCCTCCCAGCTCTAATACTCAATACTATGAAATGCACAGGTAAGCATCTCTCTTGTAAAAGGCCTTGCTTTGAGCCTACCTTACACCCACAGCTAGATACTGAGAAGCCAGTTCATTTAGTTCTATAAAGGACATACAGCCTGACTCCTAAAATCCTCAGCACAAAAAACTTCAGGAGGAAGGGCCTAAAATTTAAACTAGGAGTTTGAGGCCTACTTAAGGTGAATTATAAGTGATGGGAGAAGATATGACTTTGGGTAATGGGCACACAGAGCAATATACAGATCTTGTGACATAGAAACTCACACCTGAAACCTAATGTTCATTTTAACCAATGTCACTCCAATAAATTTAATAGTGTTTAAACAGTTATAAACAGTCCTAAAAGTATAGAGCCAAAACTTCAGGACCTTTCTCCGAAACTAATGCAAAATAACACTGCATGTAAACTGTAATTAAAAAATAAAATTTTAAAAATAAGTAATTTTTTTTAAAGAGAGATGTTCAATAAATGGTGTTGGGACAAATGGCCATCCATATGAGGGGAAAGGAACACCAATCAGACCCTCACTATATTTTTGAGGGCTATGTGTCCTCATCTATGAAATATTAAGCTATATTAAAGATTTAAATGATCTTTAAAAATTGAAATATAAAAAAATTAGTATTTCTATAATCTCTGAATAGGACAAATATTTTTATGTGAAAAGCAGAAATCAAAAGGAACACCTTAATTAGGAGGAGGGGGAAAATATCAACAAAATATGGCAAAAGTTTAATATTCTTTTTTTTCCTAAACAGCTCTTATAAGTCCCTAAGTTAAAACTCAGAAAACTTACTGACCCAGTCTTCTTTGCACCTAGGTCAGGTGACCTGGGCTGGGCTCCACCAAAGAACACACCCACAGGATACTCTGAGTCATAAGTGAGTGATGTGAGGAAATAAACATGCAAAACTAAAGTTCATCAGCTGAAGAGCACGGAGACGGCTTCCCATAGTCACGCACAGGAGCTGTGCAGTGGAAGGCCCAATGCTGGTGCCCAGCTGAGATAGCTGCAACAATCTTCTTAGTGCAGTCCCCCCAGTATGGCTGGGCAAGCAATCAGCCCGGACTTTCAGGCCTGGAAATTCTGTAAGCTACCAAATATTCTTCAATAAATTCATTCTGCTTAACTAGCTAGACTGAGTTCTGTTGCTCACAACTAAGAATTCCAACACGCACACACACACACACACACACACACCTTCTAAAAGATGAACCAAAAAAAATCAACAAGTGATATACGAAATTAGTTACATGCAAAAGTCACCTTAAGGAATAAGATATCCTTTCCCAGGATAAAAACAGAAACAGTAAGATCTTAAAATTTTGAACAAGGAAATAGTTGAATGTGAAATAAAGCTAAAGCCTTATCAGTGTCTTAAATGTCTAGAAAATGTATGACTAGAAGCCAATATTGTGCTTAGAAAATGGGAACGGAAAGCAGTCACTGGACAGTTTATCCAGGACTGAGACTAAAATGCAAATGTTCAGAGCACTTCAGAAACAGCTTTCGCTGAGGTTGAGAGAAAGTCAATGAACCTTTCCTATACCCAGAGCCATAAATTTCAAACCATGACAGCTTCAAAGGCTATAGATGCTTCAAAGGCTACCACTATGAGAGGGAGGAGCTCCACTTCTACCCACTTTTAAATGGTTATATGTAATAGCTCCTATAACTTAAGGGCCACTGAGAAGGGCAAAAAGATAGGAAAGTAACTAGAAAAGTACTACTAGGCTAAAAGGAATAGCTCTTGACCGATCCTCTCTGCTGTGATTCCATCATCTCCAAGTAATCTTTGGGTTAATAATTCAGCTTTCCAATTGCCCAGGTGCCAGAAAGGGCTACTCTAGACACTGACCTTCCAATCACTTGAAAAGTATACCCCCAATGTGAATTATAAAAACTGGTACTATGTCTTTTTACCTTGGCCTCATGTGAGCCTAATCAGTAATTGAGAGCCTCTTCAGCTCTGGATAAACCAGCAAAATCAAATGTTGGGGTTTATAAATTTGAAGTCTAGGTTCTAAAACACACTGTCCTCAGAAAAGTAGTACCACCTGGCAAGGTTTGGCCTGATAGCTTGTAAGTCTTCCTCTGGAGTTGCAAGAGTATACAGTTCACATGAAGGAATGGATGTGACTACAAAGTATAAAACATGCATGAAACACTAACTGTACTTGAGCATTTATCCCAACATCCTGGATTTCTAATGGGCTATCCTCACTTCAAAACATAAAAGGATTCAGATTACTTCAAAATAAACTTGGTCTAATTAGTTTTCATAGCCATGAGAAATCTGAAGACAGATTTCTAAGCGATTTGTCAAGAAACCTGATGGTTATATACAAGCTCACAATTAATATTTTTATTGCCAACTGATTGTTGTGTTATTATTGTTGTTATTATTATTACTTCAAAGCCCCCTTATTATTATTATACCAAAGGCCCCAACTTCAGTATAAGAAAAACCATTTTAGTAACTGCAGTATGTAGAATTCTAAGATGATCCCCAATGACCCTTGCCTTGTGAATCTGATATCACTCCTCTGATTATCTCACCTTACATAGCAAAAGGGATTTTATAATTATATTTAAGGTTATTAATCAGTTGACTTTGAATTAATCAAGAAGAGATTATCTAAATGGGTCCAACCTCATCACACAAGCCCTTCAAATATGAGTCAAGAGAGCAGAGGCAGAAAGCAGAGAGATGCACTCATGCTGTCCTAAAGAAAGCACAGTGTGTATGGGGGCCAAGTGGCAAGGGACTTTGGCACCTCTTAGGAGCTGAAAGTGGTCCCCTTCAACAACCAGAAAGAAATAAGGACATCAGTCCTACAACCACAAAGGACTAAATTCTACCACAACCATGTGAGCATGGAAGAGGACCCTAAACTCCAGATGATAACAGTCTGGATGACACCTTGATCTTAGCCTTGTGAGATCCTGAGCAGAGAACCCGGTCACACCATGCCAGGCTTTTGACATACAGGCTGTGAAATAATAACTGGGTTATTAGGCACTAAGGTTGTGGTAATTTGTTAGGCAACATTAGAAAACTAATACAGTCACCTTTAGAAATAATAAGGCTTGAATACCTTGTCCGTATATACCATGACTTTTCATTATCCATCAAGACTACTATGATGTCACTCTGACTGACCCTCTCTAGAAACCCTTCTTATATGCCGCCACAACAGCTTGTGCACACTACCACCATGCTAGGAAGTACTTGTCTCTCAACCCCATGATACAGAGACTACATCTACCCTTCCAGGCAAATGCAACACCCAGCATAGCACCTTAGCAGGCTCTGTTAAATAAATAAGTGCTCTATAATTACGAATGCTTCCAAATACTTTATCTCTTTTGATCCTCACAAGCAATCTGAAAGGTAAGCAGGGTAGATAGTATCATTCCCGAATTTCCTGATGAGAAAACAAAAAGCTTGGAATGCTTATGTGGCTTGTCCAGGTTGCATACTGCAAGATCTGGGTTAGCACACAAGTCTTCTGATACCCTCGTCCACCTCCCCAATATTCTTTAGATCACTGTTTCTCAATTTTTTCCCCCACTGGGATTCAGTTAAAATTTTTGAAAAATTAAAAAGAACCCATTTCACACACAGACACCTCTAAAACAAAAGTTTTACAGAACCTTAATCTTCATGACATAAGATGCCATATTTTCTGACCTAATTTAGTCTTTCCTTAAAACAGAAAAAAGCTGAACCAACCCACTTGAACTACTTTCACCATTAAAAAAACTAAAAAAAAACTTAGGATATACCAAAAAATTTATCCAAAAAGACGAATTAAGAATTTTTTTTTTTTTAAAGCAAAGGATAAAAACAGAAAAACTAGAAATTTTCTAAAATCAGGGGGAAAAGAGAATATGCAAAGATCAGGTTAACTAACAATGAAGAAAGAACAGGTTTAGAATCAGACTTCCCATCTGCAACACAGATGGGAGAAATACATTCAACCATCTGAGAGGAAATTTTCAACCTAGACCAATAACAAACAAATCCTCTTTGAGTGGGGAAAAAGGCCTTTTACACCCCATTAAATTCTTGATGGCATGGTGCCTTTAACACAAAATAATTTATACTCAAAAATGAAGAAATGATAATATACAAATTCAAAACCCTTTGCTTAAGAAAATAAGAATTTGTGTAATCTGTTGCAAAAGGATTGCCATCAAAAAAGTTTTTTGTTTTTTAATTCATGCATGAAATAAATCCTAAACTCTGAAAAAAATAATCCAGAACTACTCATCCTGAAAGGTTCTGAGTTCTATCAGTAGTTAATCAGTAACGATTTCCTTTTGCATTCTGGATAAATATACATATCATCAAATGGGAATGTTTTAGATCTTTTGTACACAAAGTGATTTTTTTTTTTAAACACGACTTTATTGATTTCAGGGAGAGGGAGAGAGAGAGAGAGAGAGAAACATCAATGAAGAGAGAGATTCATTGATCTGCTGCCTCCTGCACGCCCCCTACTGGGGATCCAGCGGACATGTGCCCAGAAGGGGCATCAACAGTGATCAGGATCATAGGTCGATGCTCAACCTCTGAGCCACCCGGCCACCCCTGCCCCGCCACAAAGTGATTTTATTTGATCCAGATGCACTGTCTCATCAGAGGCACTAATCTATCCAAACTGGGAACTCTAATGTGTTAGCTTGTAACTAGCTTTTCTACTGCTCAACACAACCTCTCTTTGCTAACGCATAAAAGCAATTAATTCTCATCAAGAAAAACAAAACATTAAAAATAAGTAAAAGAATACTCATCTCACCAGCATCTTAGAGCATATCCTTCTTAAGCTATTTTCACTGTGTATAAATATACTTATATATATTTTTCCCCCCACAAAATAGGGATCACATGCTGCTTTTTAATATGTCTCTTAAAACAAGTATCTTTGCATGTTAATAATACTTTTTTGTAGGCTCTCACACTAGCTATGTGATATTAGGCAACTTACCTCTTTGAGCCTCATTCCTTCATCTATAGATTATCCACCATGTAGGTTTATGCACAATTAAATAAAATAAACTATGTAAAACAGTAAACAAAATGCTTGGCACACAGGAAGAACCCAAGAAATTCTGGCATTTTTAAAGGCTGCATAATAACAGACTACCTGATACAACTTCCTATTTCTACTGTTGAACAGTTTTTATCAATTAAAAAACACTGAAACGAAAATCCATGTGGCTAAATCTTTAGCACGTCCTGAATTTTCTTAGACTCAATTTCCAGAGATGGAATCTTGGATCAATATTTCACACATCCCCAAATGTAAACGCCTCACATTCACTAACACACGATCACGTACGTCCCCACATTCTTGTTTCTTAAACGACTATGTTTTGTAGAGTCAGAAAAGCCTGAAGAAAACGGTATGAAAAGTAAAAGATTTACTATTTAAATTTTAGTCACTATTTACCCTTTGCATGGGAGAATAAACAAGCCTTCACTGTCACCTTCCAATGTATTTCAAACACTGTTTACTGTTTTACTCTACACGAGATTCAAATTTAACAGAACACCTTCAATTTAACAGTTTAGAACAAACTCGATGCCGTCGCTGTTAGATTTAATAATTGCTAATTATATAAATGTTTTGTTTAAAACGTATCAGAAACGCCAGAGTAGTCCAAACTCAGCCTTCCTTGTGAAAACTAAAATCAAGTGAGAGGTTGGCTCAATGTGTTGCGATTCGGAAAGGCTGGGAAGAAATTCAGCAGAAGCCCCATCTTCCCGGCAGAGCCCACGTGCAGCCGGGGCCAAAACACACTTGCAAGGGGGTGCTTAGGCGGCTGTTTCTTTAACATTATTAACACGCCCCCCTTTTTCCTGGAAACTGTCATTTCCTGACGCCACAGCATTCGTGAAAAATAAACGCGTAACGAGGCTCTTAAAGAAGGAGAAGCCGGGTCGCGGCCGGGCGCGAGCCCGGCGGGGCCTCGCAGCCTCAGCCCCTCCGCCCGCCGGGGATCAGCGGAGTTATGCGAAGTGACTCCCTCGTGAC